AGTGTCAGCTGCAGTGCAGACATGGCAGATGCTCAGCGAACCCTAATGGGAGCACAGGGATGATGCCTTAGGCCTTAGGTGGTGTTTGCCTGGCAGGACCTGGGGGTCCTCAGCATGCTGAAGCCCACAGTTCTAGGCCATTGCATCATGATCTAGCACAAAGTTCCAGATGTTAGAAGCAGGCAGAGCCAGAAATGGTGGTTCTAGAACCTTCTGAAGGCAATGTTCTAGAACCCGTTGTTTCTGGGCCTGGCTCTCTGGAAATGGGATTCCAGTGTGGAATGTTCCAGAATGTGCATGCTCAGTGTTCTGGATGATTCCCACCCCAGAATGAGGTTCTCCCTTTGTGGGGAGCTGAGGCAGGGGGATTGTGTTGAGTTCCTATGAAGTGAGACCAGTTGTGGTGCTAGGCTGAGGCAGAGGATGAGGAATCTGAGCCATCCTCAGTCAAGTCGTACATTTGAGGTCAGCCTGGGTTACATGAGACAGGACCTGAGAACTCAAACAAGGCCAGAAGCCTCTTTCTGGGGGCAAGGGGAGGGGCTCAGTGTCTCCACACAAAGGTCCTGTCCATCATCCCTCAGCAAAATCCCACCTACAGTGACTTCTGGCCCACCCAGGGGGTTGGGTGGTGGACAGCTGTGGGGGAGTGGGGGCAGAGATGTCCTGAGCTGCCCCCAGCCAGGTCCGGGCACAGAGCCAGGGTACCAACTGTGGTGGGCACAGGTGCACGGGGTTACCATTCTTCCCCGCTTCTCAGGGACAAGGGCTCCAGTGCCTCAGCCCCCCCCCCCCACCATGTGTGGTACCATAGGCCTGATTGTATTTGACACCTTTTGGAGGCCTAGGGAGGAGATGGGAGACCAGAGATATTCAAGTTTCCTGAGGCTACATAGCATGCCTGGAGGAGCCCCTCCACAGTCCTGGACCCGGCTCAGAGCACTCCAGCTACCTGCCCTGGGACACACAGAGTTGCCAAGTGGAGAATGTAAGGCTAGTCGCTTCCCCCTGCCATCCCTGGGCCTTTAAAGGCCCTGGGCCATAGATAGCAAACTGAGGCCTTGGTGGAGCAGACTCTGGGCCACCTTGTTTCCTCCTGGGGATTTTGAGGATCTGGAAGGCAGTGGACCCAGCCTGGACTACATAGTAGATCTGGCAGTTTTTTTATACATATAATTTTCTTGGGTTTTCGAGACAGGGTTTCTCTGTGGTTTTGGAAGCTGTCCTAGAACTAGCTCTTGTAGACCAGGCTCGTCTCGAACCCACAGAGATCCGCCTGTCTCTTCAAGTGCTAGGATTAAAGGCGTGCACCAGCATCGTCCAGCTATATAATTTATATTTTAAGTACATCGTTGTACTGCCTGCATGCCAATGTCTCACATTCCCTGGAATTGGAGTTATAGACAGGCATGAGCTTCCATGTGGGTGCTGGGAATTGAACCCGGGTTCTCTGGTAGAGACTGAGCCATCTCACCAGCCTTGCCAGTTTGTTATTTTTGAGGCGAGTTTTCACTTTGTAGCCTAAGCTGGCTCTGACCTCCAGGACTTTGCAGTCTCTGCCCTGGGGCCAGCGGGACAGGTGGGTTGTTTGTTGATTGATTGATTTTTTTTTTTTCCTCAGGAGTTTCAGTGTTCTTAGGGACTCTGGTCGGGTCGGGTCGCAGCTCTGGCTCTTTGGAGCCCAATGAGAAGAATGACACCATCTGTGCTTCAGCGACCCCTCCCCTAAAAATGGGAAAGACTGGACTAGTGATGGACTGGGGGCGTGGTTATGGTAGAGCCCCGCCTAGAATCCTCCAGTGAGGGGCTGGAGGCGTGGTCAGGGTAGAGCCCTGCCTAGAATCTCCCCCAATGAGTAAGAGGTGAGACCTTTCTGGCCCCAGCTCCCAATAACGGCAGCATGGAGACCCCCTGCCAGCACCTGAGGCACCCACGCTCCTGTTCTGGGTCCTGCCTGGGCCGCCACCCTGTCGCTGTGGCTGTTGGCGGGAAGCGAGTCTGGCCATGACAAGCACATGGGCACCATCTGGGCTGGCAGCTGCCGGCCTGGGCGGGCCTGGCACCCCTCCCCCACTGGCACTGTGCCTGCCCGCGCTTCGGGTTTCGCGGGCTGCCAGTGGAGGGGGGGCAGGGCGGCGGGCTGGCAGCCGCCTCTCCCTTGGCCCAGCTTTCCCAGACTCCTTCCCGAAAAGCAGGCCAAGCCTGGGAGCCTGGACCATTCTGCTCGCCCCTGGCCTTCCCCCACCCCCGCATCGTCATCTGAGTGCTCCTCTAGGCTCCTCCATCTTCTGGGCTCCTGTGACTCCCCCCCAGAATCATTGCACTCCCTGACCACCTGACTCCCCCGCCCCAGCCTGGCATGCTCTCCTCAGGCTTTCTTGGGCTCCCTACTTCTTCCTTTCAGACAAGGTCAGCCTTGAACTTAGTATGTAGCAGAGGCTCTGAACTCCAGGGTTTTGGGTACAGAACCCAGGAGCAGCCTGGGCCCCTCACTAATTTAAACTGTTGTACTCTGACCCCAACACTGACCCTGTGCCCCACCCTGAGCTGAGGCAGGAGACCTGGGCTGTGTGCTGCAGAACAGCTGAAGGCCCCCAAAACTGATGGAGGGAAAGGGGAGCTGGGAATTAGGGTTTTGTTTTGGTTTTTCCAGACAGAGTTTCTCTGTGTACCTTTGTAGACCAGGCTGGCCTTGAACTCACAGAGATCCTCCTGCCGCTGCTGAGCCCTGGGTGTGCGCACCACAGCCCGACTGGGAGTTAGGGTTTTGAAATATGCTCAGGAGTTTCAGTTAGGGAAAAGCATTCTGGGAAAATGAACACAATGGACAAAGGCAGAGAGAGGTCTGTGACAGTGACGGTGGGCTGGCTGTACCTTTGTCTCATTAGGTTTTGTTCTTTGTCTTTTGTTTGAGGGATCCCTGGTGTCCCTTGGGGCCTATTTGTGACTTCCTATTTTACAGATAAAGCAAGTACAAAGAGGGTGATGGATGTACCTGGGTCACACAGCCAACTGGCAACCGAGCTATAGGACCGGCCAACCTCAACTCTCCCCAGCTTCTAGGGATGCAGGTAGCTGACCAGGGTGACCAGTGGGAAGGCATCCCAGGGAGGCCTGGAGGCCCCAACCTCCACTGGGCAGAGGAGGAGGGTGTGGGGGGGAGAGGAGGAGGGTGGAGGGAGAAGAAACTGGGGACATTGTGCTGACACAGGAGAAAGCACCTTTGAAAATTTTATAGCTCAGCTCCAAGGAGGCAGGGGAGAGACTGGGACCCCCAGACTCTGCCCTTGCCCATGGCCACCTCCACACACAGCCTCTGACCCACTGTCCCTTACAGCTGGGGGCTGACATGAGATGGGGGTGGGACTGGGGCAGGAGCTGAGGTCCTGCAGCCAGATTCAAGGTCAGGGCTGGGAGAGACCTGGCTAGCTCCACTGTGTGACATTGGTGGCCTCCAACTGATGAGGGGAAACTGAGGTACAGAGTGTTCTGGTGGAAGCTTTGCCCCAGCACCTGGCATCCATATACCCAAAGAGTCTGGGATGTTATGGTGGAGGTTCCACCCAAGCCTCTCCCCTGTCTCCCTCCAAACCCTGTTGCATCTCAGATAGCCCACCAAATGATGACCCCCCTCCCCCAGAGATGCTCAAGGCCACTCCCACAGGGTATGTAAACCATCCTGTCATTTTTTTCCTGACTCCTCTCTAGGGGGCTGGAAGGTCATCCAGGAGCATTGCGCCCATTAAACGGCTTTTCTAATTTGGTTAGATCTGGTCTGATTTTGATTGCTGCATCGGTTGAGAGGCTTATTGGGGTGCAGACACTTTTCACAGAGAAGCGATGGGGCCACCCAGCCAGGAGTGGCCCACCGGGCTGTCCTCTGTGACACCCAGATGGGTTATCACGGGGTGACCCATGTGGGTGCCTGGAATGACCCCTGCCCCGGTGGGTTCTGAGACCCTGGTGGGTAGCTGCCACAGCTGACTCTCAGGCAGAACAAAGAGCCTCTGTCCACCTCACAGCCATCCCCCTGCCTCTGCCACCTGCATCCCACAGGACCACCGCCTTGCCTCCCTGGAGCCCTCACTTGAGCACCTCCCACTCAGAAGCAGCCCAAAGCAGACAGGGTCATGGGTGTCTCTGCCCACCCCCTGGCTTGAGTCCTTATTTCCAACTCCTATTCAAAGTAGACCTGAGTGAGGACCCCACCCAAGCCTGGCCCCGCCCACAGCCCCGCCCACTTCCCTGCTCCCAGTCAGTTGTTCAGGTTCAGGTCATGCTACTTGTCTCATGTCTGTAGACACCATGCTCACAACCCAGCATTCCCTTGGCGCCAAGGCCTGGTCAGGTGGAAGCTAGCTCTCTGATGGCTCTTCACCACCTCTCCCAGACCCGAGCCTGGAGCCCCTCAAGGGAATAGGACAGGTATACACGGGTGCGGATACTTGATGGCCCTGACTGTGGCTTCCACAGTGACTAAGGCCTTGCCCAAGTCCATGGCCCCACCCCTTGATCGTGACCATGGGCCAGCTCCTGACCATGTTCCTGAACATGACCTTGCCCGGGACAATGATCCCGAACCTGACCACGACCCTGGCAATCATGACCATTGCAATGCCGCTGACAATGATTCCGTTTCTGACCGTGACCTTAATACTGTGCCCTCGACCCTGACCACAGCCAAGGTCCCATTCCTGATCAGGGTCCCACCAGTGACCACTGCAGTGGCCCAGCTCTTGACAATGACCCTGACCATGCCTCTGACAATAACCCTGACCACAGCTATGGACCAGCTCCTTTCACCCTGACACCTTGACCACAGCCACACTCCAATGATGGCTCCACCCTGTCTATGGCCCCTCCCCCATCGTGACCAGGCCAGGACCATACTTCTTACCAGCTCATACTTCTTTGGCCAGGCCCCGTCATAGCGGTGCCCCTGACCACTGTCCAGCCCTGCTCCTGACCCACCCCTCCCCCGCATGTGCCCCTGCACTTACCACGCTCACGCACAAAGTATGCCAGGTACAGGTCCAGCTCCTTGACAGCCACCCCAATGTGGTGTGGCTGAACGCACAGTACAGGGTGCGCGCACGCGGCCGCCTTCACCAGCCGTTCGCCGTCCGTGCTCTCCAATGGGATGCCCTTGAACAGGATGACCATGACCAGGTCCAGGCGCCACACCTTGTCGGCCTGGCGCAGGCAGTCGATGCGCCGCATCTTGCCCTTCTGGTCTGGGTTGGAGAGCACACAGCCCGGTGCCTTTTTGCCGGTCACGGCTAGCACGAAGTCTTCACGGCACTCGGGCCTGATGTCCTTGCGCAGCTTGGCCAGCAGCCGCGATGCCCACTTCTGCTTTACCTCGGCCTTCTCACCCAGCAGCTCGTCCTTCACCGCGCGTTCCTCGTCCTTGGACATGCGCTTCTCATGCTTCTTGAAGTACTTGCGCTTCCGCGCCTGCAGGTTGAACCAGGTGTAGGCAAAGGCGCGCACGTGTGGCAGCAGCGCCTCGATGAATGGGTGGAACTCATCCTGCGAAGAGGCGGGGAAACTGAGACTCGGTGAAAATAGACCTGCTGCCCATTTAGGGAAGGAGGGGGAACTGAGTCTGGAGAATGTCAGGGCTGGGTCCTCAGACTTCCAAGTGCAATGGATTTAAGGGAAAATAAAACCCTGTCTCTTCCTGCTGGGGCACCACAACATCTGGGACAGGAGCCACGCATCTCTCACACAGTGTGTGGCTGCTGGGACTGAGAAGGAGCGCCCCCAGAGACCTACTAACTGTGACATGATAGGGAAACTGAGGCTCAAGCCTTGGCAAGATCTGCCCAGGATCCCCACAAGGTCTCAAGGAGACAGGCTACAGGTTGCTGGCTTGTTTCTTGTGATGGTTCTGAGTCAGGGGCCTCCTCCAGACCCCCCCCAACTCACTGAGCAGCCTCCCCCAAGACTGCACCTGCTCCGCACCCCAGAGCCAGGATGTCAAATGCCACCTATTACCAAACCTCTGAAAATAGCTGATGAGCTGGAGAAGGCCAGGCCAGGCCACCCGGTCCCCCAGGCCAATGTCCTCTGAGGTGTGAGTCACTGGAACAGCTGTGGCCTGGACCTGGGGGGGGCATGCTTCTGCCCTTCCCCCATGCTGGCTGCTGAGACTAGGGAAGAGATGGGGGACCGGGCTAGCCTTGGGAAGAAGAAGGTTCTTCCTGGGTCAGGACTGTAACTGACATGTGAGACCAGAGAAGGCAGGAACTAGGTCACACAGCTCTCAGGGGGGGCTGAGGCAGCATAGTGGATGGAGGGTCACTGGCCCCAGGCTGAGTTTGTGGGTACAGTAACCAGGTAGGTGGTGGCCAGTGAGGGAGGGTGGCTGCAACCCAGAGGTCTGTGTCTAAATTCACCCTAAGTACCTTTGCCTGCTGAGCCCCATTTGTGACTGCTCCCTAGGTCCCACCCCCTCCGGGAGGCCATGGTGGGTGCCCACATCACAGTCACTGGTGGCCCAAGCTGCCCAGCAAGGTAGGAAGGTAAACAGCAAGTGACCTGGTCATAGACCTGCTGGCCATGCTCCCGTCCTCTTTGACCATGCAGGCCCAGGCCCTAACTGCCACACAGGACGAGCGAGCCACAGCCAGGATATCAACACAAGGACCCAGCAAAGAAGACAGCCAAGATTGGTGTGGGGCTGAGAATCCTCTTGAATTACTACCACACATCCCCAGATACTGTCCCCAGCGCACATCCCCAGATACTGTCCCCAGCGCCCGTCCTTCAACAGCTTTCAAGCCTGGGCCACACGGTTCAACGTGGCCACCCTCTTCCCCAACCGAGGAAGGACATTAGACAGACCTCACAGACGTGGGGGGATGGTAACCAGGCTTTTCCCACAATTGGGCCCCTGCACTGTACTTACTGGGCCATTTCTCTTGGCTCCTGCCCTCTGGATCTGGGGGTCCAGGGCCATCAACTGTACTCCCCAAACCCACAGTCCTCCTTACAAAAGTGACTGCAGTTTTGAGAATCTGCTGTGTCTACCCCCCCCCAAACTCCTAGGCATTCTTTGTGGTCTAAGCCCAATCCCCTTGTCACATGGCTGGTGAGAGGCAGAGCACAACTGAGGACCTCACTAGAATGCTAGTCTGGGATAGTGATAGCATACCCCCTTCCCAGCTTACCTAACCCAGCTAGGGAGGGGCTCATTTGCTGTATTTACTCAGCGCTTACTTTCTGCCAGCCTGGTACAGGGAGGGCTCAGCCAGTGTAAAGGGCCCGGGGCAGGAGCAGAGGGAGGGCAGACAGGGAGAGGTACACCCCCTCACCCCCACACTCACCCAACTCCCTGTGGACTCTCCTTTCTATTCAGTCCCAGGTCACAAATATGCTTTTTTTTTTTTTTTTTTTTTTTTTTTGAGACAGGGTCACATTCTCATGAAAATCCCCCCTCCCTCCGCCTCAGACTCCTGAGTACCAACATCACAGGTGTGTGCCACTATATCTGGTGGATCTTTTTTATTTTGGTTTTTTTGAGACAGGGTTTCCCTGGGTAGCTTTGTAGACCAGGCTGGCCTCAAACTCACAGAGATCCTCCAGCTTCTGCCTCCTGAGTTCTGGGATTAAAGTTCTGGTATGCCACCACGACCCAGCAACCTGGTGGATCTTATATTATCTGCCTTCTTCCAAGTCACCCCATACATGCACCCTAACCCATACACACACCCCAACAGCCACCAGGGACTGGTCAGATTTCAGACGAGTATGTGTGTGTGTTGGGGGAGAGGAAGATGGCCACTATGAAACCCAAGTTTGAAGGCCAGACATGGGGACAGGCAGTCCCTGGGGCCACAGACTTGGGAGTGGAGGGCAAGGTGGACCCCAACTGATGAGACACCTATGGGTGACCTCTGACCTCATGTTTGGGGGCCACCACTGTGGCCCATCACCCAGCTCAAGTCTACTTCAAGCAACAGAATGAAGGAAAGCTGTGACATGCCTACTGGCCAAGCCATGGGTCAGGGCAGCAGCATTTATCAGGTGCCTGCTGTACACCCAGCTCTGGACCATGGGTGTGGCAGTCTATGGGGCACAGGACCCTGTCTCCCCTATTCTGTGTGAGGTAACACACTAACAGCCATTTACCAGGCAATGAGCGTTTATAGAATGACTACTGTGTGCCACCACCTGTGTCTGACAGCATTTATTCAGCACCTACTGTGTGCCACACCCTATATCCAGCACATAAATACCTGCCCAAGCTGACTGGTCACTGGGATTCTGGGCTGATGGGAGGGGACCCCATTCCCACATATCCAGGGATGGGGGGCAGTGAGCCAGCCACCCAGGCGGAGGATCCCTGTGCGCTGGGGAGGGGACAGGAAAGAGCAAGAGGCTCTGGTGCAGGGCTGCAGGAAGAGCTGGAGAGGGAGCTGTGCTAGAACGCTGACTCGCCAGAATCCAGCTCCCTGATTTACAGGCCGCGGTCCAGGCAGAGGCACCTTCTCCGCAGCACAGCGAGGAGGGGGTGGAGGGGACCGGCATGAGGACAGGGAAAGAGGACAGGGACGGGGCTGCTGCTGTGAGTCCATTTGGGAACACACCAGGGGCCCAGCCCATGCTGTGCTGCTGTGGGGGGCAATTCTCACCTCCTCTGGTCCCCCTAACCCCCTCTGGAATGAAGCCCTAAATGTCAGGTGCCCTGTGCTACCTCGGTTTCCCCTACTGCCAGGACGGCAGCGGGGAGAAGGGAAGCCATGAGGAGGAATGAATGGAGGAGGGAGGCGGCCTCAGCCCAGGCTCAGGGAACCCTTAACTTCAGCCAACAGGGATTTGGCCCCAAACCCGGAATAACTAACGTGGGGCGGGAGGGCGGGAAGGAGGGAGGGAGGGGTAGGCCGCCTCAGCTTGGGATTCATAGAAGTAACGGCTGCTTCCCCGGGAGAGTAAAAGTGAATAGGGGCCTGAGTCACCAGACGGGACAGGGGACCCATGGGGCTCCCAGAATCCTCAGGGGCACCTGGTGGCCCTGGCATCAGCGCTGACATCAGGGCCAACCCCGCCCCGGGCCAGAATCCTGGTAGGATCCAGTCGGATCAGCAAAGGAGTTATTTCAGGCTGAACCCTGGCTGTAAAATTAGCCGATTCGGGAGGGCTGGGTGAGGAGAGACACAGAGACAGACAGACAGAGAGGCATAGACACACACAGAGAAACAGAGGAGACAGATACACAGACACAGACACCATAAGTGCTGGGGGAGGGCAGGGCCGCGAGATGGGAAGGTTGGGGGGGCCGCAGCATTCATGCTCCTGGGGCCCAGCTGAGCACCCACTGCTGAGAATCCTGACCAGCCTGGATTTGGGTGGACCAGAGAGACCACATTTGGGGCTTAGGGGACTCTGGGGGTCCCAGGTCCTCTCTGAGCAAGAGAAGTGAGTGGGAGATCATGGGGTGGGAGAACCCCCAAATCCAAAGCAGCCAGGGGTCCCCTCCATCTTGCACCCTGCTGCACTGGGCTCCCCACACCCTGGCTGGACCCACACCCTCCTATGGGGGGAAACTGAGACCAAGGCCACACAGTAAGTTCCCTGGGCAGGAGCCAGCACTGGGATTGTACCCACCCCCAGCTCCCAGCAACAACCTGGATGCAGGCTGGACTCCAGAAGGCCAGGATGGGGAATTCCACGTGCCCAGGCTGCCTTCCAGCCAGCCACGTCTGCCTCAGACCTCTGTCAGCAACCAAGCCTAGTAGTCAACTCAGAGACTTTAGAATCTGCCTGTGCACTGCCACACTGCAATCCGATCCCAACTGGTGGTCTGGCGGGTAACCAAGTGATGCCTGCCCTGAGTCGTGGGGGTGCCCCCTCCCCAAATCATTCTTGAAAGGAAACTGAGGCCCATGGAGCGTCAGACATTTATCCAAGGTCACTAGGGAACTCTGGGTAGAGAAGGCTGGGGGTTCCCTCAGTACACAGGCCTCCCCTGGGGAACAGAGAACTCTACTTGCCAAGCTGGAGGGGGCTGGCAGGAATAGGGGACACCCCCTCCCGAGCCTGTCTATGAGACCATCCACCTGGGCCTTCTCTGGTGAAAACAACTGAACCCCTCGAAAACTTCAGGACATCGGACAATCACAACGCTACAGCATCGCACTTATCAGTTTGGAGACCACTCTCTTGGGGGAAACTGAGGCCAGAATCATACAGCAAAAAAATCAGAATACAGCTCTGGAGTCGGAAATGAAAGGCCTAGGATCCTAGAGAGGGACAGTGATAGTTGAGGGATTCCTTGGAGTACGGCTGTGCCTCCTCCCTAGATCCCCTCAAATGCTGGAACCCGGTCAGAAGGGAGCTGCAGGGCAGGTGTTGGCCTGACCACTTAGTACGCAGCCCGCAGTGTCGGCCAGTCCCCTGCCTCCGCACCACCGCCGCCTCCTCCTCCTCCTCCAGCCCCGGCCTCTGCTCCTCCCGCTAGCTGCCTGGCAGCTCCTGCTCCGCTCAATAATTCAAGAATCAATGCGGAGCTGGGGGAGAACTGAGCCAAGGAAGGGGGGGACCCGCGACGGACACTGGCAAGGCCGCTCCTCCCCCCCCAACCCCCGCGCGCCAACTTCGTGCGCCCCTCCCCCCCGCGCACACGTGGGCCTGAAATGAAGGGGGGCAGGCCAGTTGGGGGGCCACCTGGGAAACTGGGGACCCGCGAACAACAGCTCGCGGGGGTCTCGTTCCCGCACAGCCAGGGAAACCTAAGGTGCAGCAGGGAACCCCAAGATCTGTCCCACGGGTGAGTGGGAGTCTTCCTGCGGACACTCATTCCGTTTTTCCATCTGGAGAGGACCCCAGGCTTTCCTGGGGGCAGAGGGTGAGGGCTGTGGGGAGGGCGCCAGCTCCCCCCACACATCCAGCCAGGAGGGGAGGGATGGGAGAGTCCCAAGAACAGTTAGCCAATTCAAATCAAAGTGGGGGTTCAGAATACAGGGTTTCCAAGTGCGCAGCCGAGCTTAACGGGGAGGGGATCCCCAATCTCAAGAGCTGCCCGCACCCCAGGTCCATGCCAGGAACACCCTGGCCTGGAAAGGGGTGGGTAAGGAGGACGCGCGCCTTTTTTTTTCCCACCCCCGCTGCGGAGGGGAGGTTCCAGTCTGCAAAATTGTGGTTCCAGGTGGAGCCCGGGTGCGGGCTGGGGCCAGGTGGGCGCGGGGTCCGTACCTGGGTCAGGCAGAGCGGGGAGGAATACATCCCGGGGCGCTGGCACCGGAGGCGCAGAGGCCGAGCGGCCGCCGAACTTACTGAGTCATTTTTGCAGCCGCTCCTCCCTCCGCCGTCCTCCCCGCCCCGCGCCGCCTCCCGCCCGCCCCCGCTCCCTCCCTGCTGCCCGCATCCAACTTTCAAAGAAATCGCCGACAGCAAACAAACAAACAAACTGTGGCCCTCAGACCCCTGAGTCCCCTCCCCCAAATCTGACCATCTGCGCTCAGATTGCAAGTACACAGCAAACGGGTCCAGGGCAAGATGGAGCTAAATCTTGGCTGCCCCCCCACCCCATCTGCCCCCCTCCATCTATGCCCTGCAGCAAGCACCCCACACCCCGTCTGTCCTCCACACCCCACCTGTGCCACAGGATACCCCCACCCCATCTGCCCCATCCCACCTATGCCCAGGATGCCCCCCACACCCCACCTGCCCCACCACACCCCACCTGTGCCCCAGGATGCCCTACACACTCTATCTGTTCCCCACAGCCCACCTGTGCCTCCACACAACCCATCTGCCTCCCACATGCCACCTGTGCCCTCGGCTGTCCCTACACCCCACTTGTCCTCCCAAGCCAGCCAGTGACAACTGGGAGGAGGGGAGCGAACCTGGGGCTTCCTTAAACAGCCAGAAAGTGCCCCGAAGCAGTTGGCAGGTCCCGGAGGAAGGTGCCCTGTAGGACCCCAGGCTAGACTCTGACACTACTGCTTGCTAAAGGGGAAGTGGGGTGACCCAGTCTACCTGGGTCCCCAGGAGCCAGGCCCCAAGCTCAGCTTGGTGTCTAGGCTACCCATTTCATACATGAGGAAAGAAACTGAGGCACAGGGAAGTCTCACTCCAACTTCACATTTCTTTTTTTCCTCCTTATTACTAATTTTGAGACAGTCTTATGTAGCCCAGGCTAGCCTTGTACTCTCCTGCCTCAGCCTCCTGGGATGACGGTATGAGGGGCTTTGAGCAGTTGGAGGCCACCTTTCTGAAGAAGACATTTGGTCAAGCCTGCCCCCACTCCTGCCACCAAACACAGTGTCCACAGTGTTCTTACAAGAGTGGGTCGTTTTCACTCATTTCTCAGAGTCCAAGGGAGAGGGATGCAGGCTCAGCAAGGCTGGGCTGTGGGCAAGGGGGGCCTCCTTATCACTGTCAGCACGATGAAATTGAGGCTCCCAGGAATGCTGGGGACAGAGCAGGTCACCTGGTGGACAACCACACCATAGGAGGTGACTGTGATGCAGACAAACACTGGTCAAACCACCATAGAGAGTGGATGCAAAACCCTGGGTGCCCATGGCCCACACCTGCCTTCCCAGCAGGGACACAGAGGCCAGCCTGGGCTACATGAGTCCATTTTGAGTACCTTCCCATACTAGGGGCTGCACACAGTAGGATCAGCACATATAGTATTATAAAGGTGTGGTTTAGTTTCCCCCTGTGGGTGTCTAACACTCTGGGCTGTGGAGACATAAGCAGACACCTGCAATGACAGAATACCAAGGGTGGGTGGGTGGCTCAGGTGGACAGCAGACTTGTATCTCATATGACTCATGGTTAAACATAAAAAGTGCCTGGGTGGTGGCAGCATTGGTGGTGCACGCCTTTAGTCCCAGCACTCAGGAGGCAGAGGCAGGAGGATCTCTGGGTTCTAGGCCAGCCTGGTCTACAGAGCCAGGTCCAGGACAGGCTCCAAAGCTACAGAGTAAACCTGTCTGGGGGGGGGGAGGGGAATCAAAAAAAAAAAAAAAAAGTGAGGGATCTGGAGAGATTCCCAGTGGTTATGGCTCTGGCTGCTCCGGCACAGGACCAGGTTTGGTTCCCAACTCCCACATGGTGGCTCACAACCAACCACCTGTGACTCCAGTTCCTGGCACCCAATGGTCCCTTCCTGCCTCTGCTGCACACATGGTTCAGCAAACCAAACATAAAAATTAAGCTAGGTGGTGGTGGTACACAACTTTCATCTTAGCACTCAGGTGGCAGAGGCAGGTGGATCTCTGTGAGTTCTAGGCCAGCCTGGGCTACATATCTAGATGCTATCTCAGAAAAAATACATTGTTTTTGTTTATCTGCTTTTGTCATCCATAACACAGAGCCACTGAGAGAGTCAAGGTGACCACCAATATGAATCTTAATACCAACAACTGTGAAACAACACCTTTCCAACAGGAGACAACTGGGGGAGAGGAGGGGTGAGTGGTTCTCTGGAGCAACTCACTAACCCAGCAGAGTGGGTTCCAACCACTGCAGCTGGCAGTAACAAGTCACAATGTCCGCAGACCCAGCTGGGAACTAAGCCTGAAAAGAAGAGTTTCACTTTCTTTTTGTGTGGTTTTCTCAGCCAGGGTCCCATGTAACCGGGTGCCATGGCCTTGAGCTCGGGATCTACTGTCTACACCTAGAGAAGGCCAGGAAGACAGGCAGCTTTAAAAGGATACTGGTGTATGCCAGTGTGAACCCTTTATAAAGGGTTTACCACTATGTGACTCTGCACAGTGGATACAATGGGCTCCACAAGCGAAGGTGGGAAGTTGAGTTGGGACCCTTCAAGGACAATAGAAGGGGTGGGTGTGACTATGCCTGTGGATATTTCTATAGCATTACCTGCTCTCCAGGGCCAAACCCAAGGCCTTCTGCAGGCTAGGCTAGTGGCCACGCCCCCAGCCTCACACTGTGGGATTCTAGGCGGGGCTCCATCCTGACCACGCCCCCAGCCCCTCACTGGAGGTTCTAGGTGGGGCTCCACCTGGACCAAGTCCCCAGCCCCTCACTGGGGGGTTCTAGGCGGGGCTCCACCCTGACCACACCCCCAGCTCTCCCCCCATAACAAAGTTTTGAGAAAGGACTAAAGTTCCCAGAGTGCTTCATTGTTTGACCCCAATCCACCCTCCAAGATGTCACTATGGAAGGACCCAAGACTGCAGCGGCACAGGGGTCACCCCAGCCAAGCCTGTGCCAGGCTTCCGCTACAGACAGTGTTGTGACAGAACTGGCAGGTCCCCAGGAGGGCCTTTCTCATGTTACAGATGAGAAACTGAGGCCGAGAGAGGGGACTCCAAGGCGCGTGGCCCCAGGAGGGAAGCCAGGATGTCCCTCAGGGCTGGTGCAGTGGACAGGCGAGACACCACTGCAGGGCGGGCTGCGGGGGGCGCTGTGGGCGGGGACCGTCTGTGCAGACGCCGCCGCGTTCCCGCCTGTCTACTGCAGCGGGAACCCGGGGCAGGGTTGTCCCACAGTCCACCCCCCTCCCGCTCCCCTTTTCCAAACTCTCCACAATGGGGTGAGAGGTCAGAGGAAAAGCGGCGGCTGCCGGTTCGGCCTTGCGGATCTATATTTAGAAAATGGCACGAAATGCTGAAGTTGCGCGGGGATTCCCCTCCCGACAGCCAAGGACGCGGCGGCGGCGGCCCTGGTGGCCGGTGCGGCGCCTCCTCCCGCGCACGCGCACCCCGCACCCGCCGAGCGCGGGCCCGCGGCTGCAGCCTCTCGAGTGCGGGGCCGGGGACTGCGGACGGCGGCGGTGGGCGGGGCTACCGGAGCAGCGGCCATTTTCCGCTAAGCTGCGCGCGCCGCCTCCGAGAGTCCCGGACGCGGGTGGGGACGCGGAGGGGGGCAATCGGGGAAGGCGAGGGGAGCACGGGAGTCTCGCTCGCACACCCCACTGTCCACACTGGGGACCCTGGCCGTGCTCCGGGTCCCCGCGGCGCCCAGACCCAGCTCCGCCCCCGAGGGAGGGAGGGCGGGCGGGAGGAGGACGCGGGCCGTCCCTCTCCCTCTTCCCAGAAACCGCAGCTCCCCCGCACCCGATCCCACGCGCGGCGCCCCAGGAAAAGTCCCCCCGCGCGGAGTGGGAACGGGGGCGGAGACGTACCATGGCGCTGTGCGGTGAGGCGACGGCCGCCGGCGGGGAGGCGCGTGGGGAGGCGCGTGGGGAGGCGCGTGGGGAGCCGCCCGCCCCGCCCGCGGACCCTCCCCCGGCCCGCCCCCCGCCGTCTCTCCCCCCCCAGCCCGGGCTCCGGCCGGTCCTCGGCTGCAGACCGAGGCTGCCGCTGTTCCGGCGTCCGCGCCTGCATCCCCAGCCGCCAGTCCGCCTTCCGCGGGCGCGCGCGTGCTCGTGCACACTCGCGGTCGCGGACACGCGTGCAGGGGACACTCGGTTGCGCACGGCGCCACTGGCAAGCGCCTGCAGGCTGTGGAGGGGAGTGACAGGTGCGGCGGCTGCAGGCTCAGCACCGGCCAGGTGTCCCCCGCTCCCGGCCCCTGGGGATTAGGAGGTCGGAGTGGAGTGCCATAATCCCCAACCCTCTGCTGCGCCTCCCCAAGCATCCGCCATCCTCCTCTGCAGCTCACGCGGGCCCCAGGTTGCGGCCAGAAGCTTGACCTAGAAGGTGCTCTGGGGAACACAGGCGACCCGGACCTTGCTCAGTCTGCACATGCTCAATGACTGTGCCACACGCGTCCACCTTCTCGTACGTGCTCCCCCAGGAGGTTCACCCTAGTCACAGCTTTTACTTCTCACTCCCCACTCTGTTTTCCCGTGCAACAAAGATCCCTGAGGCTCAGAGAGGGCGATTCACTTCTCTGAGGTGGAACAGCATGGAGAAGCCAGCAGCACACCACCAGCACACCACCGGCACTGCCATCGCCAGGGCACCATGGTGTTGTCCGGTGGACAGGATGGGGCGGGGCACTTCTCAAACCGACTGTGCAGATACAGGCTCAGAGCCTCCCCCTCCTCTTTTCACTTCGAATTCTTTTTTACTAATCTCAGCCTGATACCCAATCTCCAGAGAGGCCAGAGTTGTGGGGGGAGCAGCCAGGCAGGGATGGGGCTGGAGGAAGCAAGCTCAATACCAGCTGGGGAAACATGCTAGGACCCTGTGTCAGAGAGAAGGGGAGGTGGGGAGATCGGGGACATACCCCACTCCCACCCCCACGCCTAGAATTGCCCAGAGCGCAGAGCTTTATCACCACATAAGGCCAGAGGGCAGGAGTTCAAGGTCAGCCTTGGGCACAGAGTGAGTCCTAGGTCAAAGTAAGATTCTGTGTGAGCTGCACGGCAGAGACGGGGATGTCTCTGAGCTCTAGTCTACCTTGGCCTACACAATGAGACTGTCTCAAAGTGCTCAAGGCCTACAACTGAACCCAGCTTGAGACAGGGCCGGGTGCCCAGAGTGTGGGGACTGTTAGTGGGGGGCTTTTGAAGGGGAACACAGTGTGGTGCAGGACTATTGTGTGGGGGACAGCTTGTCTCCCCATCCCCAGGTCCAGGGTACAACTATGGGGTGCTGCCGCCCACTGTGGAGGGGAGCTGTGCTCTGGCAATGCCCCCCATAGTGTGGTTAGTACATGCTGCCCCCCATAGTGTGGTTAGTACATGCTGCCCCCCATAGTGTGGTTAGTACATGCTGCCCCCGATAGTGTGGCTAGTACATGCTGCCCCCGATAGTGTGGTTAGTACATGCTGCCCCCCATAGTGTGGCTAGTACATGCTGCCCCCCATAGTGTGGTTAGTACATGCTGCCCTGGACCTCAATTTGCACATCTGTAAAATGGAGCCAGGTGGCAGGTACTGTGTCTGCCTGCAGGGCGCATTTTATTTAATGATGTTAAGCCTGTTCTACATGTTTCTTAAAGGCAGGGTCTCATGCAGGCCAGGCTAGCCTCAAACTCCTACCTCTACTCCATGAAATCTGAGATGACAGGCCTGAACTACCAGGCCTTTCAAATATCAACTCATTTGCTCACCAAAGCATCTTCCTCATTATCCTCCTTTTTACAGATGGGGAAACAGGCTGGAGGGTGGTGACTTCCAGAGCAGCCTGGACTTCACAGAGACAGCCTTCAGCAAACCACAAAAGAAGTTGAAAGCTGAGCATGGAGTGGGAATGGGACCCAGCTACAGCCTGATCGTGCATTAATTCTGAGGTCAGCCAACTTTTGGCTGTTCATAAAACCCAGAGAGTACATGTTTTCAGGTCTGAGGCAGGAGATTCCTGTATGTTACTTACTCAACTCTGTCCCAGTCGTGAGGTACAATTGTCATCCCAGCATCCGGGAGGCTGAAGCTTGAGGATTAACTTTCGGGTTCAAAGCCAGCCCATACAGAGTTTCAAGTCAGCTCTGTCTTCATTTCCATTTCATGGATAAAGAAAAGGATGCACAGAGAAGGTGAGATGGCTTCAAAGTCGCACTGCAAAGAGTTGCACTGCAAAGAACTGCCGAGTCCGGAGTTTGAACTTGGGTAGACCCTGTGAACTTTGACCCATAGAAGGTTTGACCTTCGAGCTCTTTACTACAAAAAAGAAGAGACCCGACAGGGTGGAGACCTTACGGTGGTTGAAGGATAATTTCAAACTGTGCACGTGCTGGGCAAGTGCCCCACAACCTCACTCCTACCTTCTCTATTGACTTTTGGTTTTGGGGACAAGTTCTGATCACTTAGCCCATGCTTCCCATTGACCTTGTTGCCGAGGCTAACCTTCAATTCCAGTCCCTTGTGCCTGAGCCCTGCGGCTGGGGTGGCAAGTGTGGGCACATGTGGCGCATGAACTATCACTGGTCACAGCACCCCAGAGGAGGCCTCCGCCCGCCCTCAGCCTCACATAGTCCAGGTGGGCCGGGATCCCGTCACCCAAGCTGGGAGCCTGGAAGACTTTAGGGTCATCCTTATCTACAGCTGGAGGTCAGCTTTATCTACATGTGCCTTCAACTCCAAAGCAAAGAGGTGAGTGTGAATGAATTATGAACTGGGTGTCTGTCCTTCCTGCCCTGGCAGACCCTGGCCTCGCATGTGCCATGCAACGGAAGAGCTCCTCCCACTGCCTGTCTCCTGAGGGCGGGACTCGAGCCCTCAGGATAAACTATTGGCTGAGGTCCTTAGGACCAGGCTTCTGATTGGCCAGAGTACAGCTGCGAGTCCTCTGATTGGTAGTCGCTAGCAGTTGCCCCCGACGTCGCCGACTCCATTTTTATTCCTGGCGTTGCCCTCACCTGCACTTGGACTCAACTATGTGACTCTGGGAATCGCTGTTTCTGAGTCTCCCAGAGTGGGAGCTGGGCCGACTCTGGGCTGTGGTTGAGGAGCGGTACTAAATTAGTGTGCTCACCTTCGCCAGCACCACTGCCTCCCTTTCTCATAGAAACAGGCCGAGTGTACTCCAGCGCTCCAGACAGACAGATCATTCTGTTTTGCACATGGAGACTGGTGGACCCCATGACCACCCGCGACCAGGAGGTGAGGCCTCTTTGACGTCATTTGTGAGACCCCCCCTCCCCCACTTCTGGAATTTTCCAAACAGCCGAGAAAGGTGAGGGGAAGAACATGAGAGATTCAAGTTAGACAGCTCCCAGAACTTCCTGCTTTGGGGGTGTCTTGAGAGAAATCGCACCCTCTTTCTCTTCTCTGCACATTTCTCTCCAGGGAAGGAAGCAGTTGAGCTGAGCGAAGCACATCTGCTCGGCTTCGGCTTCGCTGCCCAGCGGGCCTGGCACACGTCTGGGCATGGGCACTGGAGCTGCCTGCACATGCCGGGGCCCAGGGCCCGCCCAGCACGACTCTGGGGTGCCCGCCAAGCCAGTTCCGGGCACGCCTGCCTGGCATCTCACCCTTGCAGAGGGAAACTGAGGCAGAAGGTGCTGACACGATAATCAGATGCCATTGGGCCTTCTTTCCCATGACCCTATGGCTCTCCCACCCAAAAGCCATGCTCTGTGCCTCAATGTCCCCATGTATAAGTGGACTGTCCTGTCATCCAGTGGAAGCTCAGGAAACACGCACAGGACACTGGGACGGGGTGGGGGCACTGAAGCTGGGTCAAGGCTGGGCAGGTGCTGGCACGAGTGTGAGCAGCCACGACAGGAAGTTGGGGTCTGCCCCGGGAGTAGAGGCTGGCACTCAGACTCCCAGCAGTGCTGTGGCTGAGGTGGCTCCCACAGAGGAGATACTGAAGCTCCTGAGGGAACACACAGTGACGTTAATGCTCCACCTCTGGGGACCACCGTGCTGAAAGCTGAGGGGTGAGGGGCAGACAGCGCCCCATGGCAGGCTCAAGACCCAGCTCCGCCCATAGGAAATTCAATCCTTCACATCTGCAAAGACCCAGGGTCTGACCTAGGCCACGCTCCCAGCCCTTCTCTTGGGAATTCTGGAAGGGGCTCCACCTCCCACCACGCCCCCAGCTCCTCACTAGGGATTCTAGGTGAGGCTCCACCCTGACCATGCCCTCAGCCTCTCGCTGGGGGATTTTAGGCGGGGCTCCACCCTGATCATGGCCCCAGCACACTGAATCTCTCTCTGACTGGCCTTGAACTCATGATATTCCTGCCTCACCTTCCCATGCAGCCGGGCTGAGTGGCCTGGTGTCACTGGGTCCTGTATCCATCTCTCACAGGGTGGGGGAGGAAGACATGGGGGACAGGGGACCGAGCACAGTTGTCAGAAGCAGTGAGCATCATTCTCCAGCCTTCTAAACTCTGGGGGAGGAGGGAGAAGGGGGTTTTGAGGTCTTACACAGGATCCTCAGGGCACAGAAACACCTGGATGCCCTGTGTGGCAGTCCCCAGGCTTCACATCTGTCCCCATCCGTACCATGGTGCTGGTCCTACTGTGGGGCAGCTGTTACTTCTGGTCTTCAACCAAAGGATTTGTTGGCATGTGGGTGATCCTGCACCTGGGTTGCCATGTATCACGCCAGACCTGAGAATAACTTCTGCCCAGGTGTCCTGCCATGGGGTGGGGATGGGCGTTGACATGTCCTGAGGTTAAGTGAATCCTTACTGTGTGGCTGTTTCTTCACCCTTGTTTGGACAAACCTGGCATGCAATTGACCCTGAATAATGGCATGTCAGGCACACAGGTGGCCTCCACAGTGTAGTTGGTACTAAATCACACTGCACAGAGGCTGGACTCAGGGCTGTTAAACACGTTTCCTCTCTGGGGGAAAACAGAGGCTCAGACCCAGCAGTGAGGAGGGTCACTGCTGGGTGTACAGAGGCCCCGCTGGAAA